CAATGCACGTAAGATTAGTGACAACTGCAACCCTTTGAAGCGGTCTGCTTATACGGAGGTATCGGCAAAAAAACGTAAATTTGCAAACCACATTTGGTATCGGTTTGATATTAAAACTCTTAAAGAATCTGAGGTCTAAATGCGTATTGCAACAAACTACAGGCAGCTCAACTTGGGTTTCAAGTTGATGCAGCGAAGGCCGTTTCTGAGCCTCGCTGGTGGGGGGAGAGGGACTTCTGGCACACGCGGCTTCAGCGCGCGAGCTAGACAAGTACTAGGAATAAACCAGAGTGGAACTAGACCCGTCCGCTCTCCCCAGCACGCTTGGGAAAAGAGAGGCTGAAAGGGGCTCTGGAAATACGTACGGTGGCTTTTAGCGGGAGAAATACCCATCCCACCACAGCAATGACGTGATTTACCAACGAAGGGACCGTGACCGCAGTTAGCTTGGTTTGGTTTAAGTGACCTCGCAGCTGCAGCGGGCAGAACGAAGGGCGAGCCGGGCAGAACGAAGGGCGAGCCAGCCGTACGCCCTTTGGGGGGGTGCGGAGAGAGAAGGGTGCGAATTACCCCTGTGGGGAACTGCTGGTCGACAGAAGCAGAAAAGAAAGGCCGTAGCTGTCGCTTGCTGTTGTAGCATGAACTGAAGGGAAACTCATCCTACAGCGTGTCCAGGCGAAACAGCCGGTGAAATCCCAACTGCTCGTAGGCACGGCCTAAGGGGAGGGCTCTGCTCAAACCGCGTGAGGTGCAGAAGCACGTAATGGGGGGAGATCTTTTTACTAAGCATCGGTTAAGCAAAGCTTCCACCTCGCTGGGAACGGCTTAAAATGTTGGGGAAAAAATTCCAATTCTTTCAAATCTTTTAACGTGCCTAAAATAAATACGCGAAAACCACGATGTGGTTAACTTCAGTGCTGAGCAATACCTGCGTGGTCGCAACAGAACCTCCCGGAGCAAGGTGATTTGGACAGATACATCTCCAGGAAAGGTACAGGATTGTTTGAATTCCATTCTTTACACCCAAATTCAGTGCTAACGCCACGCAGAAGCTTTCGGCGCGCTAGTCTGAGCGCAGCACGATCCTGCCCTCTGCAAGCTCGAGTTAGCTGCTGGGCTTCTGAGATCTCCAAGAGAACGGGGGATATATTAAACAGCTTGCGAGGACAGCACGGGGGTAGCAGCTGGCACGGCACAAATTCACAGCACAATCCTGGCATGCTTTTAGGACGCGGTCTGGACGGTCACAAGGAAAGGCGCTAGTGCTGCTGTACCACAGCGAATGCGGGGGGAGGAAAAAAGTGGGAGAAAGGGGTACGAAGATTGATGTTACAGATACTTGAGCCCCAAATAACATGCTACAGTTATTACACCGACGGATCTAATTCTCTAACCATAAGCCCGTAGGGTTGTATTTAGTTACAGTCCATACTAGTCTGCCCGACGAGTCACGGACACGCCGATGTGCTACGACAGTTAATGCACGGCACTGCTGACACTGAACGGCTAGCGGGGACGCTGCGGGGGCTTGCAGAGAAAGAGGATTTCATACGAGGGGTAGGCAGGTGGCATCGCTGGCCAGGCTGGGGGCCGGCGTCCCGCCCTACCTTTCAGCACGTTTTAATCCAGCGGGGCCTCGACGGCTGCCAGCCCGTGCTGCCGCGGGGCCGGGGAGCTACACGGGCGTTCGGCAACGGCCTCGCCAATAAACCAGAAAATGGTTTTTGTTCAAGGTGGGCAAATGCTCTTTCCAAGGCCTGTGCCTCTTGGGCCGTGCGGTACCACGTTAATTACGGCTTGTCCCGTCCTGCCTGGCTGACACAGCCTCGGCGGGGCGACTATGTACGTAAAGTCATCGCTGTTGCCTGGAAAAAATACACCAGTTGTGGGCTGCCTGCCCGTAGGGGCTGCCTGCTCCTGCAGACCCGAGCCTTCCCAGTGCCACCCCGGCAGGGACGTCCTCCCCTCCACCGACAGGGACTACGGCAGACTTTCGGTGGCAGAGGGAGCAGGGTTAAGCTTCCTTGAGGTGCCTGTTGGTGTGGCTGGAGACGTTATTCCCGGCTCCGGTTTAATCAAGGAGCAATCTGTTCTGCCTTCCTGCTGCCAGGAAGCCTCTCGGGCGCCCAAGCACCTTCCTCCTCCTCTCCTGCCCAGCAAAACGCAGCCAGGTCCTTGCACGCTCACCGTGCCGCCTGCAAGTTAAAGGTAATAACTGACTTTTGGGGAGCTGTAAAAAGCCGCTGACCTTGAGAAGAACAACGGTGCCTCGGCCGGGGGCTGAAGCCGTCCCCGTTTCACCGTTGCTGCTCTTAAGGTCGGGGCCGGCGTGAGAGCGTGCGTGTGCGTGTGCGTCCCTTCTGCGGTGTGCGTCCCTTCGGCGTCCCGCTGCCGGCGGGTGGGAGGGTGGGGAGGAAAGAAAGGCAACGCAGGCCTCGGTACATTCAGATGTTGTAATATTCAGCATGGTTACACCAGGGGTCAGGACACGTCCCGCAGTCAGACAGAGCTTTAGTTCTTTACGGTTACAAGGAAACTCTGGAACAGTTATATAGTTAGAAAAAATACAATGTACTGAACAAACATTATCTCACATACAATCAATTTAAACATTTAAATTGATTATAATTTTGCTAAAATATTAACACAAGTACTGTTTGTGCTGCTAAAATTTCAGTGTTCCCTCTAAGGAAAATATTGCTACAGTTCTACCGTACCCTGTGTTAAAATCCTTTGCCTTTTTTTTCCCAGCAAGACTGACTCTAGAAAAATCGCAAGGGTCACGTAATTAATTTAGGCTTATACCGTACTGGGGTTTGGGTGTCCCTGGTCTGCTTAATGCAAGGGTGTCCCACTGTTCACCAAGCCCTGCTGGTGTGGGCCACCGGCAGATCACCCTTGGTCACCTCTTCCTTGCTCCTTGCGTTAGCCGAGCAAGTGACACCTCCAATAAAGCAGCGCGGCGTCCTCCTGCTCGTGCGCCTGCAGCTGCCGCCGCCGCGGGCAGCGGGGCTGAGCGCTACCGACCCCGATAGCGCTTGGACCTCAAAGTGGGTGCAAAGGTGTCCAGAGGGAGAGAGGTCTCCTCTGCCGTCGCTGTTGGGAAAAGCCCGTGGTGGGGACCGCGGCAGGACACCAGCTCTCGGTGCCACCGCGCGCAGCCGCGCTGCGTGGGGAGGCTGCAGCGGCGCGGGAGAAGCATCCGAGTTGGGAAATGCTGCCTGAAAAATCCCCGGGCAGCTCCAGTGGCTCCGGTGCCGCCAGGCGCGTGGGAAGAGCTCAGCTCCAGCAAAGCCAGCCTTCGCTGCAAATGCACATCTTAACCCGGCCTGAATAGTAGGGGATTCAAGTAAAGCACTTTGTCACTGATAATGACTGCTCGTGAGGAGATTTGCTGCTTATTAATTAACGCACTTATTTGCAATTTAGCAGCAGAAATGAGCTGTGTTAATGATGACAAAAAAACTGCTGGATGTTTTTGCTACAAGGAGAGCTGGGGCAGTCCGGTAACTATTGCTTGTCACGAGGTCAGAAGGCAGCACGCAACTTCTGCCGGCGTCAACCAGCAAGGCGAAACCGCGGCTCGCCAGCCGCCGGGAGCCGGAGAGTCGAGGGCCTCTAAGGATGGAGCTGCCACCGAGGTGGTCGGGAATTCAAGTTTCAGCTCCTTTGCTCAGTCCTTAGTGACAGATAGCTCAGGTCACAGCCACCGCGCAGGCAGACAGGCGGGGAAAGCAGGCAGGTTGCTGACAAGGATCTACTGGATTTTGCACGTTGAGTTATTTTTGACAAGGCAGGAATTTTGCAGCTGAAAACCAAACCTCAGCCTCCTTCCCAGGCGTTTTTCATTCACCGTCTTCTCCCCCACTATTTGCAAACACGGGGCCGTGTGCCCCCCCAGGATGGACTTCAATGGCCTGTGAAGTCTTTCCAGTTCTCTGTCTGAATTCCTCATTTCTAGAGACCGCAGGGTAAAATGTACGTTCACCACTGAGGTTCTGCTGCAGCTGACGACAGATGGTGGCTGCTCCCAGTATAGAAACGCAAGTTCAGTGCCACTCCTAATGGACCGGGAATTTGAGTCGCAGAGACACCCACCCCTTTTGTGTTGGTAGCTCTGGGTTTGAGCGTGAGGGTGTTCAGCGTTGCCAACCAGAAACTATTTGTAAATTTGCAAAACCTTCCCAACCCCTCGGTGAAGAAGTGGAACTGCAACGCGCCGTATTTTCCGCTGATAAAAGGCGATTCCTAATTAGCAGCCAACTATTGCTGAACTGGTTTCCAGTTTCAAGCAGTAACTTTTTACATCCTCAGCCAGAACCACGCTGAAGTGTAGAAGCAATTTGGATGTTCAGCACAAACCCCGACCCGCTGCGCCCCCCCCCGCTGCTTGCATCCTAAGCTAAGTTTGAAACGCCTGTTTGGATTTTGGTTTTTTTTTTTGTACAGTAAATATATACAAATAAAAGTAACACAGACGCCACTTATTTCTTTGTGAATTTGGCGCTTTCCATGGAACACGTACAGGAAAGCTCTGCAGCGGGAGTGGCGCGGGGCCGATCTCCCCCCCCTCACCGCCACGAGACCGATTCTGTGTTAGCTCTGGAAGAACGAGATAAATAGCAACTCCTCAGCTACTGTGTTCTCTAACAGGAAAAGGTATTCTGGGCTTTCCCGGGCGCTCAGCAGAGCCCAGCGCTGACTGCCCAGTGTCAAGCCTCAGAGAGGGCATTTATTCATCTTTCGCCACGTGTAGGCGATGTGGTAGCAACCTTCCTTCCTTCCTTCTGACTTAGAGGGAACACTGCTTTTATAAAACCCTTGGACAGGTAAGACAAGAACCAATACCACTGTACAGAATTCACTGCACAACTAGCTAATAGTAAGGAACCCAGCACTGACTTGCCACATTAAGGAAATAGGACTGAATACATTTGCAATCAACCGGTTAAGTGTACTGCACCGTAGGACTCGGTCTGTGGGTACACGGCCCTCGCCCCTCAGTACGCTGGCACTTGGTAACCTTTCGGGTTGGTGTCTAAGGTCTCGGTGAAGGGGGGGCTCTGGTAGGTCTCTGTGCTCTCGATGCCGCTGCCGGTGGGGTAGCCGGGGTACGCCGCGTTGGGGTCGGTGGCGAACTGATCGGTGGCAAAGAGCGACATGTCCGTCCCCAGGCGGTATCTCTGCAGCGCCTTCACCGCCAGCGCAACCTCGCGCGGGGGGGA